GCCAAACAAGTAACATGGCTTCCGTAACAAGTGAAATCCAACCTGTCTTTCTCTGATTGAGGAAGCCCTGATAGGATAAATGACCTAATCCATCTCTTCTCTAAAACAGGAGCTGAAAAGTGGGTTAGATCCTGCTGCTGGCAGCGCTGCATTTGGGGTGGTCTCTGCTAGGAGCTGACAAACAACTGGAGTGATCAGAAAAAAATTTTTGCTTCTCATAACAGAGTTCACTGAAATCATTGTCTCTACGGAAGAAGGCGGTGGGCAGCCGGGAGGGGTGGCAGGCAGCGGGAGTCAGTACATGTAGAACCTCACGGCCAGCCATGGTCTTGCTGAACTTGGCTCCAAAGTCACCCTTGTTCTCATTTGTGTCCTTGTGTTGCCTTTACCTGGGGTGCACTGTTGGCATCTTTTTCCCTGAGATGGTGAACTTTCTTCCTCTTCCATCCTTAACAACCAATACAACATACAGAAGGAAAGGTGAATAAAGTTAAATTCAAATGCCAAATGGGAAAGCTTAGAGATTTTAAAAACTGTTTGCTTTATGTAAGTACTCATTGGAAACTGGCACAAACAAGTCACTATCTGCTCTGAGATACTAGAGCAGATGTGACAGAGTGGAAAAGCCTCTTTCCTGCCAAAGTATTTGCTGGAGATTGGATAACAAGGTGCCATTGTACAAGAGTGGGTAAAGGTTCAGAGTAGAAAGGGGAAACAAGCGGCATCCAGGCGGTGCAGGGCTCTGCCTTTGTGGGCTACAGCTCCTCCGCTGAAACTTAGGCCTGCAGACAGCGGGTAGAGCAGAGTTAGATACAGTGGGAATGCAACTGGCTCGTCTGTGCTGTTTTCCTTAGCTGCAAACAGCGACAGTCCGTCTTGTCCCTTCATTTCAGTTAGAGGGCTGTAAGCTTCTCCTAGCTTTTCTACGCACTTCTGGGGAAAGCACTAAATTCAGCACTCCAAATGCACATTTATAATCTGAACCAATGTGTGAAACTCAAGTACAAGAGCTCCAATTTTTAGTATTTGTACTGACAAACTCTCAAGGATTCCTGCAAATTTAATTCATCCCTGTCCTATTTCCCCCTAGATACTAATACTTCATGTTTTAAAAACTGAGTGTTTTGCAAACACTGTTGTGTTGGAATGGTGGCTATCAAATAAAATTTCAAATTGCATCATTTCACTATAAATCCTAAGGATATAAAAAGACATAAAGACAGCCTGTGCCCCACCCTCTAAAGAGATGCTCTTATTTGTTTTGATTCTGAAATGAGAAGCAGCTGGTTTTCTGTAGCTAAGGAAGGATGAGAAAGTTTGAGCAGCATTCTCTTGTTCTCAAAACTCACCTGCTTTTTGTCCCCTACCAAAGATAACTCACCAAAAATTGTTCAGACAGAAAACACATCAAGGTAACAACTGCATCTTTACCCTGACACAGTAACAAGTCTCACACATACTCCCCCTAAGCAACCTTCAAATTCAAAATACAGTCTCAGTAAAAATCAATCCGTAATTGCTTGAAGGATGTACCTGAAGTCATGCTATTTTAAAAAAAACCAAACAAACTTTAATGGCAATTTATCTTAAAAGTCTTTACTGAGCACATATGAGTAGCCAGGTTTGATCAGATAAGAGAAATGCTTTAACCATCTCAATGACATCTCAGTTCCTTTCTCCACTCCAAGTTACTATCAATTGTTATTTCACATCAAGGTTTAAAAAAATACCTGGCACCTTGAAGTTCCCTTTAATTGTCCGTATGCTTTTACTTTGCAATGTCTTTGGAGTTGCCTTCCCAGAAGCCTCTTCAGTGGCGACCGTGGGCCACGGGCGCAGGTAGCTGCTTTCATTTATCGCAGCCAGCCTGAAACCCATTGCCTGAGTCAGCACAGCGACTGAGCTGCTTTCCTCCTCTCCCCTTTCCCCCCCCCCTCTACCCTTTTCAAACAGTGTTTCTTTTAGCTCATTTATCTGCCTATTGGGGTGATATGTAATCAGAGCAGGAGTCCTGATGGGAAATACAAAGTGATTCTTTAGAGTGGTTGGCTTTGAAAGCCATTCTGGGTGTTGATCAAGCAAGTGTTCCAGCTGCCTCTCTCATCTGCCTTCTGCCCTGAGTCTGTCAGCACTAGATGAACTGGAAGAGCCTCTGGGATGTTCACAGGCCCATCTTGCCTTAGTAAAATCTGGTATTTGTGTCAGTATGTGACACTCATTTGATGTGAAGGTAAGGACACATACTGACTCACCCACTCCACTGTCCAGGGGACTCTGGTCTAGTCTTTCTACAGTGCAACACAGGCCAAAAATCCCCAACTATTGACTTTGAAAAAGCAGTACCTTTGCTGTAGTTAGAGCCACCACTCTAAACCAAAATAACAAATGCTTTCACTCATGCATCTCAAATGCCAACACTGCTGAAAGACTCAAACCAACATTCCCTCCTCTGTTACAAAAAGTGGAGCCACTGCCCAAGTCCTAATTAATTACACCTGCACAATAATGCAGAAATCAGGTTTACCATAGGTCTGTGCTCCCCAAAGGGCTTAACCTGCTGTGATCAGAGAGCCATCCCTTGGAACAACCTAGACAAGGTTATAAAGGTTATAAATCTTCCCAGAAAATTCTTGTTTAGTTAAATGGTTTTCCACATCTGCTTATATGTCCTTCTAAGCAATCTAATCCTGTTATTAATCTTCTTTCTTTACAGTAAGGAGAACAAAAATAATAATTTCTTCCCGAGTTTGGATTCTGAAAAGACTTTTTTTCCATACAAAGGAGGCCAAGTAACTGGGTAACATGGATATCACCTAACATGAAGGTGGATAAAATGCTTCAGATTTTGAGTCTACCCACAAAAAACAGCTGGTAGAAGTGCAAATACAACCCAGAAAGAGGGAGGAATGAAAGCAACCAGCGGGCTGATGCAGGAATACCTACAGCAGAGCAGGCAACTGCAAACAGACCCCAGCACAAAAGCCATTCTGCTTTGCTGACTGAAGTGAGCCTACCACCATCTGTTCCAAATCAGGGCAGGATTAACTGGCTCAGCCCAGCAGATGCCAACACCAGTGTCTTCCAAGATACACCATTTTTGTGGTTAGATTTAGAAATAAGTTTGCTTTTAAAAGAAAAAAAAAACCACACCAATCTTTCATTCTGGGTAACAGGGTAGAAACTGATGGCAGGAAGTAAAGAGCCACAGAGAGGCAAACAGGTGTCTCACACCTACCCGCTGCACCGAAAGACGGATTATTTTGGTTCTGCGTTACCACTTGCATACAGGCTAATTAATGGAATCACAAACCTGTAACAGCATCGGCATGTTGAGAGCCCGCACACATACTCACTCTCTGTAGGAATATTCATTCTTGAAAATGTAACTATGGAAGCAAGAAAATGCGAGATTTGTGATTAAGATTTTGACCTTGGGGTGCTTATTCCAGCCCCTCATACTTGGTGCAAAATTAGTCAGGAAAAAGGCCTGGAAGGCCAAAAAAACCCACGCATAATTCCTTAACGATTCAACTGTGAGGAGCATTTGCCTGCCAAACAGAATCCCCAAATTTGCTCTGACTTGCACAAGGCATTAATTCAGGTTTGGTTATCTGCAAGGGCTGTAAAAGACACTTTTTCACACACCTACTCCAAAAAGGACTGGAATCCTAGGAATGAGCATGCCAATAAAAGACAGTTAACAGTTCTTGCAATAGCTAGCTAGCATAATGCATTATGTAAAACACAGACTTCAGATTTCTTTAACTGCTTGATTTAAATAGAAGCATTTAACAATACCATATTTCAGTGAACGTACTAAAAGAACTGTGAATCAGTATAAGAACTCATTTTCCATCAGAATTTTGCACAGTTATTTCTCTCAGAAGACAGAAATAAAACAAAATGACTTCACATTACAGAGCTGTCACTCAAAGACAAGGACCTGTTTATACTTACACCGACCATTAAAGAAATGTTTTCCCAACAAAAAATAACATTGAAGATTTCAGATGAGCTACTCTCAGGGGTTGGGGGATGATTCTTTATGCATGATGCAACTTTGCAAACTGGAAGTTTGGAATGGTTTTTATTTTAGTGCTTAAAGTTATACTAGTGTGCCTGCATGCAACCACATACTTCAGTATCATAAATACTAAGCGGATACAGAAAAAGCAGCACTGATAATCTGGTAGGATTCAGGGAAAAAAATGCAAAGTGAAATGTACCTTTTTGCTGCCAGTACTAGTATTTGCCTTTCTTGTTTTCCAGAATTCAAGTATCAAACCTGTATATACAACTCTGCAAACCCAAATGCGTTGTAGAGGACTACATGGAGAACAACCACTTCTGTGCTGAGAATTTGCACTACCAGGACACAAGAGCAATCATACACAAGCAACATAGAGAGCACATTCACAAAGATACTACAGACAGGTTTCTGAGATTAGCGACTACAATAGTGAAAAGAAATCCATTTTGCTCAGAAAGAACACATAGACTTCATGTACATTCTTTATTTAAAACAAAAATAATCAGAAAATCTTAAGCAGAATGTAGGTAGCAATGTCTTTTATAAAAATCATTCTCCAAAGTATGTACGCTGCAAAAGCCCGAGCCAGTCCTCTCTCACAAGGTAAATTTTGTTTACAGATTTAAATCACAGCAGCCAGTTCTGCCTCATGAAATGAGCTTCTCTGAAGCCTGAATTGACAGCATGTGACATAAGCTTAGTATCATCTCATTTATTACAATAACTTCTTTTCAGAAATTATTAACCTGGAGGTGGTTTCTTCCCTAGCATTATACATCTCGGCATCTCCATAATCTGAGGAAAATTAAGAATGTGGAAAAAGGAGTAAGATAAAAATAACCTGAAATACACATTTGCAAAGAAGTTATTACATTATGGGAAAATAAGTAGTAGGTACGTGAGGAAGCAAGGTGCCTTTTTTTTTTCCCCTCAAATTCAGCTTTCTCGGGAAAATAGCAGCTTAGTCCTCCCTAAAGAAAGCTCCATGGAAAAAGGAGTTAAATAAAACTCACAGGAACTCACAACTCCCACTCCAGCCTACTTCCTTTGAAATATACATTCTTCCTTATATTTATTTATGCGTACTGCCCTCAACCATCCAGTCTCTAAAATGCTTCTCCATCAAGCTTCTGCCTCTCCAGTCACCAACGTTCACAGTGGGGATGATTTTCTGTGGCTTCAACCATTGAACAAAACGCTTCATTTCCAGGTAACTGCTGTGTTCACTGTAAGGAATCCCTGAAACAAAACAAATCACAGCAATCCGTCAGTCTACTTAGCTTCTTGCCAAAATACTTTTGCAAGCCTTCCAGCTAAGAAATACTTTAGATAATATTTTTTTTATTTCATATTTGAGATCCTAAGGTAAGATAGCTAAGGTAAAACGAAAACCCAAATTTTCGTTCTGAAGAAATTATCTTGCATTAAGTTATCAAGTCATTCATCAGTGCAAACCAAACAACACCAAGCATTTGGTTAAATGAATGTTAAGAGATTCAACTCCACCCACTGATAAGAACTGAGAGGAAGAGGAAGACCCACAGTCTCTCACAAATGACTAAGGTATGGAATGAAATCTTGGCTCTGGAACTGCACTTCTACGAGCATCAGTCAGGCCAAGATTGTACCCCTGAAGTCTCTACCTATATCAGATAAAAGTCTTTATTTACAGGAGGAGGACAGGAGCAAAATTTATACAAAAATCTGCATTTACAGTGTTCTTGATTACTCACAGATCTCTCCCGGAGAGACCATCTGTTCAGTTTCTCAACAAGTTATCAGAAAAAGCATTGGTTACAAAGAACAGTAAGAGTCTCCAGAACAAAAATATGAAAAGCATCCACACAAAATCAAATGCACTGAATCTCTACCACTCTTATACCATATATGGTGATGTTTCCTCTTGTCTGAGGTTTGATATCCACCAGAGAAAGGCATGAATCAGAGTAGGTCCACCCCGTAGGTTTGAATGCCAGAATTTGATCAAAATTCTCAGAAAACTTATTCAAGTGATCTTGCAAGCCCTGTGAGAAGAATACAGCATATACTTAAATCCCATTAAATAGCTCATTAGTCTAAAGGCTGATTTCATGATGGAGAGACTTCAGACTAAATTTTATTTTCACGTTTTGATATTAACTTTTTTATTTTAAATACCATCTGCCTTTAAATTATTAATGATAAATACTTACATTTGCAGAGCACATGTACCTTAGGATCTCAATCACTTCATCTGAATAAGCACATACAAACAGCTAGGCATTTCAGATCAGAACACATAACGCATAATTGCATCTCGTTATAGATCTTGCTCCCCAAGTCATTAATTTCCTCCTCTCAGCTGGAGGCCAGCACTCGTGCAGCTTAGTGGTGATAAAAGATGGTGAAAGCCTGCTTCAGTGCAGAATCACCTGGTTAATTTAAAGTGCAACTGAGATCCTGACATCTGCTTATGCCCAGAAGCACTCACAGTTAATTAAGCAAGCTACCCAAAAAAAAATGCAGCAAGCCAGTGCATGAGTTGAGTATTGCTCTGAGCACTAAGCCATGTTTTATCACATCTGCACTCATAACAGGAAGGAAACCACCTCTCATTTCTTCACTCTAAAAAAAAATTAACTTGAAAAAGTTTCCAAGTTGGCTAAGTTAGCCTTCAATGTTTAAGCTAGGATCGGGAAAAGGATGAGAGGGAAGTATAAGGAATGTACAATCCTGTTCCTGGATAAAGTGAAGTCAGTATTATTTCAAACCAAAAACAGAAAATCAGTTTCATGTGTCCTGTATAAAATCTTAAATGCACATTCTTCATTTGAAAGATTCCAGAAGTCAAAATCATATACTTTACACCAGCATTAGGAAGACAAATAAAAAATAGACTGATTAAAAAAGGGTGGGGAGAGGGGGATATATAGGCTGCGATGGAACACTAACTAACCTGTCAGACACTTAAAAATTATTAAGCAGGGAAGCAGAAAGCTGCCTGTGACACTGCCACATTCAATAGCACCTTCAGTACAAAGTCCCGTAGCAACATACAGAATCCATCAAAGTAGGCAGATAAAAGAACAACAAAAAAAATCCTACCACAACACACGTTTCATTCAGCAACAAGAATTATGACTAGCTGCCATAAGTCTTAATATGCTGCAAATGTTCAGTCCTCGCTAGATTAAAGATATAACTGTAGCAGTCTAAGTCTCCTTCACTCTTCATTTTGGGAAGATTAACACAGTTTAAGGGAATAATTCACATATTTGCTCCCCTTGCTCTAATGAAATCTAAATACAGTACTTCAAATACAATGATTATTATATTAACCAATGCTAGTCTCCTTTCAAACTTTGTTATAAATCAAGTGTGCAACATTCGCATTAAGGATGCAATTTCAATCTCATAAAAAATTATTGGTGCATTTCAGTCATAGGCACTTATGGATATCTCACTTGAATGCTAGTACAAGACATTACTGAGCTAAGCAACATAAAAGAGGTGCACAGACCTGAAGACCCCAGTCCTCTGGAAATCTTCCACTGCATATTCAAGTGGCAGAAGCCTCAATTTTTGACTGTTAAAAAAAGTTGTTTGTCGCAAAAGAACCATGCATGTATTTTAGAAAAAATGGCCTCTTTCCACAAAACAAATTACTACAGTGCTTATTCATAACAAGTCCGCATTAAGTACACATTCCCATTTCTTCTTTTACTGCTTTAGCCAACACTGTTCTAAATCTTCGTCCTTTTAAAATATAAAACATATTTCATTGCTAAATCAACGTCCTTCAATCACCATGACAGCCTACAGTGTCACTAAAGTCAGCAGTACAGGCAAGCAGATTCTATAAGGTAGAAGAATCAAACATGATTAAATAGTTAATTTACAATCATCCCTAACATCACGTAAACTCATTTGGCTTATTCAAGAACAACTATTCATTCGCACATATAGCAATCCTTGTATTTTACTGGAGTAAACCCAAGTATTGCAGTGAAGTGCCATATCTCTTTAATTTTTTTTTTTTAAATCTTTCCTTTTCATATATCAAATCCACTTGCAATATTGCAGCAATTCGTATTTTATTTTTATAAAATATTTTAATAAAAATCACACATATAAAAAGTATAAATATTTTTTTAAATTTATGTAAATGCTATCCATTAAGAATACCCAGAACATGAATCTACAGCGGGTCATCTCACTTTTGACCCAGACAGCGCCTGAAGAAAGTTTGATGTCAACTCCTAATAAACAAAATCCTCAAGAAAGCCAGAGCCATGCATAGGAAAAAAAAAAATTATCAAAGAGAAGCCCACCCAATCCAACAGTAGTAGAACAACACAAAAAGCTTATTCCTCTGCCACTGCATTTTTGCTGCCTCTGAGCCCCTGTGGCTTGTTCTTTCTAGTTCTACCCTTCGAACTTCACACATCTTAGCCAAATACTTATTTCAAGTACTGGTTCTATTCAAGGGGGCAGTCACAAGGCCTGGATAAAATGCATCAAGTCCAGTGATACCTGGCCAAGTATTCAGTATTATGAATGGGACTGCTTGCTTCCCAACTACAGATCAAGACTACCTATATGAATTTATAAAGCAGGAAATATACTCTTTCTTCTCAAATTTGAACTTGTTTCTTCAACAGATTTTTGTGACAGTGACACAACTCCTGATGCAGCAATAGAAAATCACCCAGGATTCAACATTCAAACACGTTTGAAGATAAAAAGTGATGGAAACATTCAAGCCAGGTAGCAGAGTATCCCTCAGTGTGGCTGCATGTGTATAGAAACGTGCAAATCTTGACACACGACAGCTCAAGCAGAAAAGGGAAATGCACCATAGATTATTGTCACCAAGTCTTTGGCCAAGTGAAAATCTAGGGTATAGCACCTATTCTGAGGATGCTGTGGGTTCACAAAATCATTTTTCAACCTGTCAAAAAAACATTCACTGATCCACTTGTCTTTCATAGTGGATTTAACACAATTATGGTGACTATTCATTTTTGTTTGCTTCAGTCGTAGGCAGAACATACCAACATTAGTCTTTAAACTCTGGTAACTAGGGGAAAGACAGAGAGAGATTTCTGTACTTTTCTAAGCGCCTGTGTTTTTTAGATGAATGATGCTCTCTGCTGAATCAATACAGTGTTTATAAATCATACATGAACAGCTAAGCTAGTTGTTCACAAATAATAAAACAGCTGACTCCAAAATGAAAAAACATGCTTGATATTACTCCTGAAAATCAACACGGAGAAAAGCAGGCTCCAGACAGCCCCAAAGTTGGAATTAAACGGCTGGACAATGCCACCAAAAGGAAAAAAATATTCACAACATAGAGAATGCAAAAATACTTCTAAAATTCCTGAATATGCATTCAAAAAAAGTATCACTTTTATTAAAAAAATTATAACAATTTCCAGCAATCTGGAGACACGATGATCAGGAAAAAAAAAGCCCCTGATCACAGCAGAATGCCTGTGAACAAGGAAGCATATGCAGGAGCATCTCAAAGCCACAAACTCATTTCCCTTCTACTCTGGCAGAAAAGAAAGCTGTGGGCATCCAGATTGAGTCATGGAAGCAGTCAGCTATGGGAACACAGAAGCTTTCCTTGGGCAGGTACAGTTTTAACAACAGTTACTGCAAACTAGGCTTCAGCTGTGGTAAGCACAGGTAGCTTATGCAGCTTTCTTTGTTCTTCATCTAGAAACAGACTAGAGAAGTTTTTCAATAATAAAAGGCAGAAGAATCATGCATACATCTTAGAACTACGCATACTATTAGAACTATCAATCCTGAAGCACAGACAGGTTTGGGTTTTCTTTCTGTTAGTAAAAAGCACAACAGGGGAAAAAAAAGGGTAAACACTGGGGCTTCTAGGAGATACTATAATACACCATCAGGGTTTGGCTATTTGCATACTACTAAAAAGGCAACTGATACAAAAGATCACAGATGTACTCAGTTTACTAAATAAGGACTGCATCTGAGCTTTTGACTGAGAATAGTCCCATAAGGATTTCATGGATTTGTAGGTTTGCAGCTGAAACTACACAAGCAGGAAATTTGCCCAAATTAAGAAGTAGGATTGTGTTTTTGAGTAGGGCTAGGGACCAAATAAAACAGAAGAGGTAGGAGAGACCCAGAGGATAATGAAGGCATTCGTATTTAGTGATGAAGATTACTAAAAAATTCTGGCTTTCCCAGTAATGAGCCAGTAATTCAGGACAAAACCTGCATAATCCAGGACAAGACAAAAACATGCAACTGGAGACGATGGCATCAACATTTACATGGTCTGTAAAAATAGGATGATATCATTCATCATTTTTTAACTAGAACAAGATTGCAAGCGATCAGATAATTTATTCTTAAAAATACTGTTTTTCCTGAGTTCATGTTTCCTGCTGGAGCAGAAATAAGATAAATGGTCATATGAACTCATCTTTAAGCATTTAACATTCTCCACATTTTACTGATACTACGTTCCACCCAGGCATTCATGTAGCTACTGGCCTCACTGGAAGGTTAGCACCCTGGCAGTCTACCCAGCATGCCTAGCTTACATGGGCACAAAATTACCAATGACAGCATGAAACCACATTCCAACAGCTTCACACGTGAAATCAAAGCTCCAGGACAGAGGGCCATGGCTCTTACACCAGGACTCTTGTCCACTAGATCACTGTGCCTTTAATCTTTCCTGGCCCTTTCCAGGGTCCAGGCATTGCTTCTGGCACACTGTAGATTTGTCTAGAACCTCTTGTTCTCAGAGATGAGACCCTGCACATGGTAAAACTGCCTCTCTCCGAGAAGTAAGGCTGTCCAGACATCCTTGTAGTACGATCACACCCTCTGCCTGAAAGTCCAGCTACGTGGTATGCCGTACATGCTGGGACACATGACAGGAGAATGACATAACAACCCAAAAATCTGCAGAAGAAACTAAAATATATTACTGTTTAAGACAACACAATACATGACAAATAAATCCATAAGCATTTCCATTACTTATTTTCTGCCCCACCATGGAAAAGATTCTAGAACAATGTTAAAACATTAAGTTCCATCTCCAGGTCCCATCCAAATTGTATAGCCTCTTTTTCTCCTTTTTAGGTCAACTCTGACCTTGACGGGTCCTGCAGCTAAATACCATCTTGTTCTGAAGGATTTGCTTGAGATGGCACAGCAGGCCTGACGCAAAGCAGGAAAATGAATCCAAGTCCATAAGGCGTAAGTGACCCCTGTTTCTCTCATTCTTCCAGGTTACTTTTAATCTAGAGCCTGCTGCTTTGCCTTAATGCCATTCTGTACTTTGTAGTCTATTTAGAAAAACCTTCTTTCCCCCCAGGAATTAGTCACCTTTCCTAACTAAGAAATTGCCACAAAAACTCTCAACAACAAAAACCCACTGTCTCAAATCTCAACTGAAATGCACATTTGAAGTCAACTTAGGTGAAACAATGTCTTAAAATAAACTGTTTTGCTTGCTTTTGCTTACAAATATTAGATTGTGTGTGGAAAAACTAAAGCATATGTATTTCTGAGGTGTCCTTAAATTCACTCGATGTGTGTATTTGTTTCTGTGTGAGTTTTCATTGATTTTCAAGTATCCTTATCCCCTCATCTGCAGAAGGAGAGAGAATATTCTTTCAAAAGATGAAAATATGATTATAAATACATGGAAATTGAACTGAGAGGAACATGGAGAACCCTATTCCTTTCTCATCAAACACCAGACTGGAAGTTGGCCATGTTCACAGGCTGCCTCAAAAGAGAGATAATCACAGGCAGAAAATCATTCTCGTTTTTTCCTACATCATACCAGGCAAAACACAGGCTGAAAACAGGGACTCCATGTCACAAGATATTAATTGCTAATAGGACAGATCCTGCAGTCATTACATAAATCTACTTCAAAAAGGCCCGCAAAGAGCAAGCCTTTGAACAAACCTCATCTTATCTTGTACAAGCACCGCATTGAAGTGAAATTACACTTTCTGTGCATCATGTTTGGAGACAGTTATTAATGTTTAATTGTATTTCATTTTCAATGTATTGCTACATGTCAAAACTCTACTAAATAAATATGATCTGACAAGAGGTTAAAAAGCACCAAACATAACACTGGTTGGGAGGAGTCAAAACTAAGATTAGCCAGCAGGTTAATCAACAGACTACATTTTCCGAACTTACCTTAAAATTAATTTGCATCATGGGAAGAACGTGAAGCAAAGTACCATGCCAGTCCACGCTGATGAGGGAATTAACAGCTGCTGACTCCAAGCACTGTAGTGTTTTGTACTTATCACGGGACATACTTGCTTTTGAGCCCAGAACTTCAGCAATTGCTTTAGGATTAATTGGGAAGAAATCAGATAATGAAAATTTAAGAGTTCATCTTTTTTCATGTTTTTGAGATATTCCTAATTATTGCACTGGATCGTTTTTACTATTGAAAAATATCCATATTCAATAGTGTTTCATATTCTAAAATTAAGAAAAGAAACCTGTAATGGCTGTTAAAAAACTTGGGCTCCTACGTTTTAGAAGAATTGTGTATGACAATTGGAAAGAGAAGGAGAATAGAAGTACTTTGATAACTTCTAAGTCATATTTCTTTGGTAGAATGTTACTGAGGTGAACTGGTATTTATTTCAAAGATGCCAGAAACATGTGCAGTTTTTGGAATATGCAACAAACAGCCCAGATTAAAGACAGACTAAATTTCAGTGAAAGTAAGTCTTGTATCGATGACTTTAAATATACTCAAAAGCACAAACCGTTCACAGCTGCCTGCTCTAGAATATACGTTTGGGCAATCATGTTGGTTCCTAACGCTGTAACTGAGTGAAGCACAGCACACAAGATTTTCATCCAGTCAGAAAAGATGTGTTTTGGTTTGGGGAATGCTTTGTTAAAATTGATTTCATTAAAAATGATTACTATAAATATTTAGGAAAATACGCAATATAACCCTGGAAGGAAAAACTGTTAGCAAAATAGAAGTTTAAGAATAATTATATCCCTTTGCTGTTTCTTATAACATGAAATTATTAACACTGAAAATGTCATAAGGATCTCATTTCCTTTTTTTTTAAATTGCCATTAGCAATTTTCTCACCGCAATCAAAGAGGTTCATTCATTTAGTATCCAAATTGGCCTTCTGTATAATCAGGGGGTTTGTAAACATGGCAGAAAAATATTTCTTTCAGAAAGTTAAAACTTACTGATTAGAAAACTAAAAAACTAGCAGTAAAATTATTAAATATATTTCATTTCTTTACACAGTATCTGACCCATCAAGACTAAGCGACCCTTTATATCTTCCAGAAAAAGATATTTTAACACTGACTTAGATATCTATTTAGTTATTTGATCCAGTACACTTCTTTAACATACCTAAAAAAACTTTTTCTTTTCCAATGGAATAGGTGCCACAGACAACTAGAGTACGCGGGTTTAAAGTCACTGTCTCAAAGGCAGTATTGACGGCAAACTGGATAACCTCTTGTTGAGAAGGAAAAGTGTATTCAGGACTACAGTATCTGGGGCATGGAAACAAGATATACCACTTCATTACACAAGACAGAAGACAGCTGAATTTACCAAGAAGGCCCTCAAAACTGTATGGATACAATAACAAAGTAATGAAAAAGATGTTATCCTTCTGTATAATTTCAGTCTACTTGCAATCTATTTATTAGAAACATGAGGTGGCCAGATTAAATTGTTGCAATAAAATTTACATTGAGTCTATCAGTCTTTTCTCTACAGCTATTCACTTGTCTGACACTGACACACAATTTTGCAGTTTTTTTCTCTTTAAATACCAAGTGCTCTTTCAAGCTAGATATTTTTATCATGTACTAATTACATCCTTATGTCTATTTTTTGTCATGCATACAAACCATAAGGCATTATTCATTCACAGAAACATATGGAACAGAAATAAAAGACTGCAGTTGGGCATTAATCATACACAGAACAACAATTTTATATCCGTGAGTCAGAGAAAGGTCTAATGAAAACCTGGACAACTGATTTAATCATTTGGCATTCTTTCACTTTGAATTCCTCCACACGCCTTTTCATAACAGAGTTGAATCCACCAGTGTTCCATGAACCTCTTCTTTTAGAGCTGAACACTAAACATATGCATTTTGACACCCAGAATTTAATACCACTCATAAATACTAAGGCCATCTCAGCAAATACTTTAGCATCTTTTCCACTACCCACTGTTATTCTCTCATGTAACAGCATAACAGATAAAGAAGCTAGACATATGTGGACTTTCAACAACATCTGATTTTATTCAACACTAAATAGAGCTAACGAGTGTTAAAACAGTAAGGTCATTTATACTTACATTTATTTGCTTCATATAAAGTCTTACTAAACTGAAAAGAGGGTTATATTGAAAAAAAAAAAAAACTAAACACAACTTACGTGGTATCAAGGTAAAGGGTATGGACTTGTTGACCAATCAAAGCAGGGTAGCGCTCCATAGAAGGATCTGCCCTGAAGTCTCCTGTGTGCAGAATAACAGTTCCACTCGGTAGACAGAAAAGGATCATCGCTGCACCCGGACAACTGAAACAAATGAAAAACCCCATACAAATTACATTAGTTCTCTATACTGATTAACTGCCTTACAAGATGTACCACCCTTCAGTAGCAGGAAGGTGTGCAGAGCAGTATTTTAAATCACAGCTACTATGAAGCCTAATTTAGCTAGAAATTCCTAATTTCTAAAGGCACTCCGAAGCTAACCTTATGGCCACAGGTAAACTAGACCTGAGTTCCCACGTGAGATGGAGGGAAGAGAAAAAAAACACCAACGGCAAAGTAATCAAGCATTACCTGCCTGTTCGGGATGCGCTGTCTTCTAGGTATGACAAAGATGCTGCCATAGTTACAATCTCTGAGGTTATATTATTTGATTTAAAGGGGAAACAGTACACCAAAGAGAAGTAGCATTCTTATTCAGCAGAAACAGAACTGTATTATTGCAGCTGCATCTTCATTCCTGCAGGACTTACTGAAGCATTTCCTTTTAAATTCTACTTGCAGATTTTAAACATTATTCTCCATCCAGAATTCCCTGGTTATAAATACAATTCTTTTATTGGCCACAGCGAATCCATTGCACCTTCAGCAGTTCCTTGCCAAAGCTGTCTGAAAGGCAACTGCTCAGACTGGAAAACCAGCGTGGGACTATTTTGGACATGAATCATCTGTAAAGGGTACATGAAATCTCAAAAAAGGAAAAACTGGCAGGAACCAGAGCTAAAATGACAGAACTGGTGAACCCTCCAAAAACTTGAACTTTGTACCTAAGGTTTATATGCCTTTTAAATTGAAGCAGAGGATCAGTGAGACAAACAGGAAAAATGAGAAGTGTCCAAATTACATAAGCAACAAGGCTTCCTTCATTCCCAGAAAGGGTTCTCAAAGGACTTCATGGAATCTTATCTCTCCAACTATAAACAAATCCTAAGATAAGTAATATTCAAACCAGCTGTGACACAGTGCTGTGTTTCAATATATACTTCACGGAAAGGACTTTTCCTCTAGCCCATAGCCAAATAAGGTACCAAGAGCCAGAGCAGCAAGAGCACAGGGCTGGAAGTCAGGTGCTACTGAACTTTAAATCCAGCATTACCACACAGTGCCAGTGTAACACTGGATAAAAATCTCACCCTTTATCACCAAATCCAGTAGAAGTCTTGCTGCACATTTCAACAGGTTTTTCTTTAAAGTTCAGTTTTCAAAATGTTGGCTAAGTTTTGTCTCTCATGGGATCCAAAGTACCACATTTTTCTTTAGCTGAAGATTTCACTGTCTTCAGTTGAAGCTACAGAAACCTAACATATCTGATAATCAAATGCAGGATGTTCCCAACTAGATACCAAAAATTAAAGTGTCCAGACCACCAGAAAAATCATTCAACCTCTCAACAAGTTTAAAAATTACGGAGCTATGTGTGATAAAAACAATGTACTCATTACAAGCAAGCAGAATAAAGTTAAACTAAAAATCATCAAAAAAGCATAAGTTTCATTTTCAAAAATAACTCATCTATTTCAAACGCTAAATACTCACAAGAAATTTAGGCTCCTACATGCCTAATTCACTTCTGAAGTGAAAATGCATGTTACTAAGCCAACTCATGTATCTGAAGTATTTTTAGCCTTGTTTTTTCCAGTCCACTGAGACCTAAAAATCACGAAAACATAAACTGTATCTATAAAGCTATTCATCTTTAATATTCTATACATACAATTATTCCACAGCAAATGCAGTGATACATACTGATTGGCATCGAGCAACACCACTTTGATCCCATTCACCAGACATTCTGTGTCCATCGGCAGCACATGGACATACTGCTCTTTGACTCGAAGTTTGCTCTTCACCAGATTGCCAGTTATCTGTAACAAGGAAAGGATTTAATACGGAATAGGAACAAAATCTAAAAAAAGCCTTTGTTTGCTTTAGAAACAAAGGCTCTCAAAGCCAGACTGTCTGGCTTAGACAGAAACTATGAGATCCTGGGTATAATCAAGCCTTTCAGTAGCATTTCACCTCTCAAAAAGCAAACTGAAAAAAAGCTGTCTTAAAAAAAGCAAACTTTTAAAAGCCTGATAACAGGTTATGGATTGGAATCAGAGAGGAGGCAAACAAGGGGGAATAGCATCTGTTACAGACTGTCAAGTCAAGAAGAGGAGGTGGGCAAAGCCTTCTTTAAACAACAGAGGAAATTTCTGGACCTTGTCACGGAGGACTGCAGCCACCCCAATACCTACTGGAAGGGTAACACAGGACACAAGCATTCCAGGAGACTTCCAGAGTAAATTAGAAATAGTTTTTTGATGCAGGTTCTGGATGGGTTGATAAGGCAAGGTGCCCTACCATGTTATGAGTAAAGAAGAGTTGGTTGGACATATAATAGCTAATGGCAGCCTTGGCCATTCAGCAGCCTGAAGCAGAGGACAGAGAGGACCAGGCTACAACAACCCCATTTACTTAATGCGGAGAAGAGATGGCTTAAGTGGAATGTAATTTCAGACTTCCATTGCTTGAATGGAGTTATAGAGAAGATGGAGCCAGATTCTTCTCCATGATGCACACAAAAAGAACAAGCTACAGTCTCAAGTTGCAAAAAGGGACATTTCAATTGTATATTTGGAAAAAATTTCAGAGTGGGTAAGCACTGCAACAGGTTGTGAGGAGATGTAGTAGAATCTGTCCCATTGTCAAAATTTGTCCGACAAAGGCTCTCTGCGGTCTAATCTAACTTTGAAGTTAGATCTGCATTGCGCAGGAGATCAGACTATATGACCTCTAGAGAACATTTTAAACCTGAATTTTTTCATGGTATCTAGACAGGGAAGTTTCACTAATCTTCATCAGTTAAATCAAGATAAGAATTTCTTACCAGGGAAACGCAGATTCCCCTATACATATCCACTGTGTCTAACTGATCCAACAATGGAACTTCTGATCTTCTACTTACTTTCATCAGTGTAAAAGTGATTATAGCTGCATATGGATTTGATAATATCTAGTAATCTTGAAGAACCTTACCTTATTACAGTAGATTGGAAACATGAAGTTTTTCGTTAGCCCACAATAGTGATCAGAGTGAAAATGAGTAAGGAAATAAGCTGTGCAGCCTTCAATTTCTCCATACTGGAAGGCATCAACTGTAAAACCAGTTCCTACAGCAAAAAAGGGAAGAGAAGTCAGTCAGTAAACATGCATAGTTCAGAACTACCTTTCGTTCTTTTTTCTTTCTTCCAAATTAAAAGGTAATACAGTTACACTACATACAGTTGAAGGAGCCATTTAAATATGACCATGGTTTGCATATGAGTCAATAGTCACAAAAAAGACTTTCACTTATTAAAATAAAAATTTAACAAAGTGTCCACACACAAATACTTTCACGGGCCTCCCAAATATCTGTTGTTCAGCTGCCATCCTACACAAATGGCAAGTGGTTAAGCAAATAAAACACATTTATCTGCATTCAGCTGGTATTTTTTGAAAGTTCAACATCTTAACACAAAATAAAACAGGTAACTACAGCTTAACAAAATGCACTTTGGGATCAAACTTCAATTTTTCAACTATTCTACATTTAATATTCCCCTTAAAACATGCTACCATATAATTATTAAGCAAGCAATCTGGGGTCTTCAAATATATCTGCTGAGATGAAACGTGACTGATTTGCCATTGCATGTTTTCAGTGAGGTGCTGTTTGTATAAAGATGTCGCGTATGACAGCCGTATAGAAGAGAGCCCTTTTCTCTGCAAATGTAATTTTTTTTTAAATGCAAACATATTGATAGATGGTCCTTTCACATTGGCTTACACTTTCTTAAAACTATTAAATAGCGCATAGAACTAATTTATCTGGTGGCACTCAAGTATTTTTCATTTTATGTTACAAATATTTCCCAGGTCTTCTAGGAGAACTAGAAACAGTTCTACTTACTTGAGGCTAGAACTTCAAGTATTTGCAACTCAAAAAAACCCATAGCAGTCTGCTAATTAAAAATCTCAAACCAAAAAATTCCCAAATGTTTGAGAGGTACCAGACTCAAAACTTCAGGGAGGCTGAATTATACTAGGCCATGGAGATAAATACACATCATTAGCAACATAGAAAATACACTCAAATACACTTCAAATGTAGTAACAAAATTGAGAACAAAGACAACACAGATAATAACAAAGCAACTTTAAAATTGCATTGTAAGCATAGGAGCCTGCTCTTCAAATTTATTATATAAGGAAAATTCTCTAAGCCCGTGGAACCCATGACACTGGTGTAGCCCCACGAAGACTTACAGGTCAGTCTTCAAGCAGCAGCTTGGCACTTAGGATCACTAATATATTTCTGTTCAGCTTCAAATATCTGCCTAAGACAGACCTTTAGTAGTAAATGGAAATGTGAGAGTCTGAAGCTTTTTAAGCCGCTGATCCATCATCCTATAATTTATATAATTGCTTGAGGAATTTCTGAGAAATTCTTGGCTGTTTCCATAATTGAACTCTTCTGCTTTGTTTTCATTTCTTTGTTTTCACAGTTGTAGTAAATCATATTTCTAATACTACTGAATTTCAAATGCAAAACTAAACTAAATTCTTTTAACCTAGTGTAAGGAAATAATTGCTATTGACAGCCCTATTTTCAGGCACAACTGAAGCGATGTAAAAGATTAAATTCAGGAATTAGGAGTGAATATTAACAAGGGATATACTCACAATCATTTAAGAAAGTAGATCCATCTTTCAGGACTGCTTATTTTTTTTTTGCTCTGTCAGAATCATTCAGAAGTCAGTCTTTGTAATAATTTTCCTGAGATAACTATTTCACTAACTATTTTCAGCCTGGTCCTCTGGTTCTGCAATCACCTTCTTTTGGAAATTTGTACCTATACAAGATTTTATCAACTTAGATGGAGGAAAGAAAATTAACTATGAGCTGCAGTCTAAATGGTTACGAAGAGTGAAGAATACTGAAATCTAAAATTCAGAAAAAAAAATACAACACTCAAGCCAAAATTAATTAACCTGTACAAAAAACAACAGTTACCTCTCACCTGGTATTTTCTTGTAGAAAGGGCAGTGTTTTTTTCTTGTTCCTTCACCTGTAGCAGATAATTCTTTAAATTTTTTTCTCCACTTTTGTTGGCCACCAGAACTTACATCTGCAAAGTTTCCATTTTTACTTGAACTTTCTGTAACTGCTTCCACATCTTCCACAGACCCTTTAGCTTTCCTTTTTTGCTGTCTGGGCCTCTTTCCATTGGGACTCACTGAACTTGGTATCTGCTTTCCCTCACTCAAACACGTCTCTCCTTTGCTTTCCTCTTTTACTTTGGGTTTTAACCCAAAGAAAACACCAATATCCATTTGTTTGAGTTCTTTGGCAGAACTGGATTTGGCATTCATACTGGCTAAAGAAAGAGATGGTACTGTTTTAGAGATGGGGCTGGGAAAGCACACAGCAGTTGTATTAGCGTTCCCTTCTTTCTCCACTAACAACTGCAAACTCTCCTGGTGAGCTGTTTTTTCAGTTGCATTGGCAGTCATTTTATCTGCATTAGTTAAAATGTTATTTGGGTCCCTCAAAACATTACTTTTCTGCGTCAGAAGAGATCCAGCATCTTCTCTGATTAGCAGTGATGATGTCTCAGTAAAACTCATGTATGCAGAATCCAAAGCACAAGCACCAGTATCTTCTGACTCTGTGTTATCTGCTTTAGCAGCAGAGGAAATTAGTTCTGGCTGTTCAACCTCCTTGCAATTAAAAGCAAAAGAGGATCCACTGGCTAGCACCTCTTGCTGATGCTGATTATCTACACATGTTGAATTACAGAACTTGCTGTCCATGTGACTTCGAGAAACAGTTTTTACACTATGATCTAGATGGTTCAACATACTTACTTCCTCACAGTGGGTTTTTTTAGTTATGAAATTTCCCATTTTGGTATGCTCATACTGAGGCTCCTGCTGTAAGAAATGTCCATCAAATGTTTTAAACACCACAGAATTAGATTCATCTTCAAAGTTCCAGACTTCGAATAATTTATTTTGTGATATTTTTACTTTCTTCTCCTCTTCTTCAGTTTCCTCTTCACTTTCCTCAAAAGCACTCAGTGGAGAATAAGAAATTTCACAGTCACTGAAGTCCGCTTTTGAGTGTAGTAGACTTGGCTGATTTGTATCTTTCTGACTACACAGATCTTCTCCTGTTCCACTTTCTTGAGAGGATGCAAAGTCATAAAATTCAAATTTACAACTATTATCTGTGGCCTGTGTAAGCTGAAATGTCTGTCGAGGCTTTTGAACATCTGCAAAAGAGGAAGTACTTTCAGTGATTATATTTAGAGGCTTCATTTGTGGTGAACTCTGTACCATCAATGTACAGTAATCATTCGGGACATTTTTTACATTATTAGATGGTTTCTCATTCTGTGAGATTTCCTCTACATGACTTGGGGAACAGCTGGGCTTTGCAGGAGTAGAACATGTCATCTTCCTCTCCAAAGTGTTTGCTGAAGAGTTTACAAGATAATCTCCTGCCCTGCTTGCTGCAAGCAGAAAATGGCTGTAACGCTTGTAGTGTGATGGAATGGTGGAAGTGCACAGTAAACCATCAGGACACTCTACAAAAAGAGTTAAACAGAGAAGTAATATTATTATCTTTGCAAAGAGAGTTGACATAATTATTAAAATAAAAAGCACATATGACACACAATTTAAAAGCTTTTTCTTATAAATGCAGCTATTGGAGAACACAAGGCACAAGTAAAATAATTTTCAAGCCGCCAAGACCTCCTGCCCTGAGCTGGTTAGAAATGAGAATGCTTCCAACCTAAAACCAAACAGGTGCTGCTAATACAGCACTATGCCTGAATGAATATAGCCCTCTAACAACAACAGCACTTAACCCTGTTTCAGTCCTGTGCTAATGTAATCATATGGCTTCTAGTTTAGAATTCTCACATGCAAGCAATCAGCTCAGAGCATTAGCACCAGAAAAGGCCAGCAGACATATTTCAAAATAACCCAAATCTCAGTTCTAAATCAACCTAAAATTCCATTTCAAATCATCTGCTGGGTTATGCATTAAATTAAAAAAAAAAAAAAAAAAAAAAAAAAAGAGTCCTGTATTAACTTACGTGAAAAAAGCATTCAGGATTGAGATACAAGCAAAAAATCTATGGCTGTTCTCTAAGCCTTTTTGTTGAGGATTTGCTAGTCTAACTAGTAAGGATTTTAAGGTGAATGCATAGATTCAATCAAAAGGACTTTTCATCTGTTAATTATAGGAGTAAGAGATGGAAATGAGGAGTTAACACATCTGTCTTAAGTTAAAATGACTACCAAAATTGGGATTAAAGGACTCACATTTCATTGTTCTGAAGAAGAAACTTCAAGGAAAGTTACAAAGATATAAAAAGGAAAGTGACTGTGTTACCTAAAACAGCCTTTACTCATTTCCTGACTGTATGCTTTCTGTTTTTCAAAAGTTATGACGTGTATTAAGAACATAAGTTGGATACCTGCATCTATTCAGACATGGTATTTCCCCACATGAAACTAGCAATTGGAATGAGTCAGTTTCATTCCTCTTGTACAGAACTCAAAAGAAAATTGCGTAGTCTTATGATACAGGAATGTTCACGTATAATTCTGTACAAAATTTCTAAAGCATACTGGACTAGGGGCTAACATTTCAAGTAAATTAGCACAACAGACTGATTTCAGCTTCCAACTGTCCATAGACAACTGGACAAATCACACAGCAACACGGATACAGGGTAATGAAATTTATACCTAAGGAGAAAGAAAGTTCACATCAAAAGTAGCAGCCGCTTAACTGAAGGAGGTTGTTTTTGCTGACACTGATGAAGTAATTGAAACACATTCCATTATTTTAAAATGGTAAATACGCACCTTCCATTTCTTCAATAAACGACTAAAACTGGAGCTTGATAAACAACCACGAATCTCTATCACTACTCTACAACGTTTTGAGATTAGATTCTGACAGATCGTCATGTCAGATTTCCATGTTCTTCACAAAGAACCAAAAATCTCATACGAAAATAATACTGATAAATGATCACTAATAACATTCTAAAATTCCTAACCACCACCATCTCAGATTTTGAACTAAACATGAAAACCAAGGTTTACAGCAACAATATGTGAGAAGCCTTTAACTTTTCTCTGAAGGCTTTCTTCTTACCCTATTCATACCTTTTTCAATGGATCCTGGAGCATCCAAACATTCAACAACGTGCCATCGAGGTGTCTGGACCAATAGCAAGGAGAAGGGCATCTGGCAGCTCGGACAGTATCCATCATGAACAGGCTTTGCGTTTTGTGAGCTCTGTTCCGTCAGGCTACTCACACTTTCCTGGGAGTGCACGCTACTGTCATCTTTACATTGATCGACATCCTGATTTGGCCTTGATGTCTGCTCACTTTTCTGAAGTGTATCAGTTTTTTCTATGGATTTTTTTTTATTTCTCTTTCTTTTTGGCCTGCACTTGCCATCACTTACTTTCTGCATAGGTGTAGAGATGCTCTCTGAATTACTCTGATGCTTTTGCTTCCTAATGGATTTGTACTCCCAAATGTCCTCTTCCAATAAAGCATCTTCAGACATGGCAACACATGAAATATTCTCCTTTCTTTTAAGCAACAGTTCACAAATCCACCTTTCCTTCCGCTAATACGTCTTCTCATCCCTCCCCTCTTCTCTATCTGAAGAAAAGCACCTGAACTCCATTTTAAAAAAGCAACACTGGGCCACAAACCAAACAGCAGTCCGTGATGAGACTGAAGCATGGCGGATCCTATCCTAAAAGTAATTTAATTAGCATCTCTTTGAATATTTGGAATAATGCCTGTTACACA